AAACTAGCTGCATTTCCTCATAACCTGCGACTCTAACAAGCAAAGCCATCCAAATCCTCTAGCATAACTTGCCAACATCAACTCAGTCAACTAGCGTTTAAACAGAAATTTTGGAGCAAAATATGCAAAGAAAAGAAAAGAAACAACGAGAGGATGGGGGAAACATTTCTGCAATGGTAGACCGGCCCTGCTTGCTGCAATTTTACATTCCAATCAAAACTCATTGACATGGAATAACTCAAACCAAGACCAACACCCATGACAGCAATAAAATTTGACAGCAACAAGGATTCAATCTCCAAGTTTAACATCAAAATGTAATGACAAACACAGAAATGAAAAGAAAAATAGAAATGGAAGGAAGCTTGCTCAGAATGATTCACTTTATTCTTATCAATTTGAGTTCTCAGCTAGGCTACGGTACATCAGCTCCAATAATCAATTTCGAGTAGAAAGCTTTCCGCAACAACATTAACCACCAGATATATATAAACAAAGGGTTTGACAGGAAAACCAAACCCCACTGGACTGCTATAGAGGACAAAAGACAGCAAAGAGAGACTCGAGTAACAAAACAGCCGTGAATATCAATGTAAGCTTACGAAGGGAATGGGATTTAGAACTAACAAGGAACAATGATGCAGCTGTAACACTGGCTCTAACATCTCACCATCTTTGGCCCATAAAAAAAACCAGATCTTCCGAACATCAGATACTACCACAAAGAAAAACCCACGGTCCATATTCCTTCCATTATTGGAAGCAGCAAAATGCAAAGCTGATGGCTTCTTAGGTTCACAAGCTTTCAATCACACAAATTCGGAACACACATTATAATCCACGCACAGCTACAAGATTTGACCTTTTTACTCACAAATGAAGCAACAATTTTTGATGAACATGAAACGAAACTGCGGCGGAAAGTAGGCAGCAAAACAATAAATCTTCCCCAGGCCTGGTCACGAAATACATGCTTGAAGATTTCAAGAGTAGGTGTTTGAAGAAACTTACAGTGCTCGGGCTTCCCTGATGAAGATCCGCGACTGCAGATGGCGCGAGGATTATTAGTTCCAGTGGCTTTCTTCGCTCTCAGCCGCAAAAGCTTTTCCTTCCTTGATCCGTGGCTCTCTTTCTTTTCTTTGGCCGAAGCCCTTCCCCTCTAATCTTTCTTTGCTCCAGTTTTCCTTTTAGATTTTTAGCCGCCCACTTCATCAGGCTTCGCTTTCAGCCTTCACCTCATTTTTCATCAACGGTCACTTGGATTCTATCTCTGACCTCCATTTCAGCCGTCCCTCATTTTTTTTTAAAGCTGGAGTCTTGCTACTGCAGGTGCTATTTTCTGATGGGTTTCAGCAGCAAACTTGAGTAGCGGCCCCTCTCCCTCCGAAATCTCCAAGCTTTTGCCCAGCCGTGATTCCCTCCTATGGTTTCTTTCTTGCTCTCCAGATTTCCCTCTTCTCAACCCTCAGCCCGTAACCCTAGCTGTCATAAGACTCTTCCTTTTTGCCGCAGCTTTTTCCCAGATTTCCAGCCGTCATCCAAACTTTTTCGCCGTTCCTTTTTCGTTTCAGCCCTTACTTTTAGCCGCCCACTCTCGTGCTTTGCTTCTTCGTTCTCTGTTTCTGCCTTCTCTCTCTCAATCTCACTTCCCTCTCAGCCAGAAAACTCTCGCTCACCCTCAGCTCTCTCCTGTCCTGCCCGTAGGTTGCTTTCCCTTAATCAGCCGCCCCCTCACTCTTTCTGTATGCCCCCCTCTAAAGCTGTGTTTTCTGTTCTATTTATACCAAGCTAGCAACCCTAAAACCCTCAGCTATCCTCTCCAAAATTGCAGCTAAAGGGGCTGCCCAATTCTCTGTTTGCAAGCTGCGACAATACGCAGCTTGCATGCTGCGTATCTCTTTTTTTTTTTTTTGAAAGAAAAGAAAATAATTAAACTAAATTGTCAATAAGATTAAGTAAAGTAAAAAAAAAAACAACAATTTAAGCAAAACGTTTTTCTTTTTCCATCATTTTCTCTTTTCTAAATGAACCAAACAATCAATAAACAAAAATAAAATATAAATTAAGTAAAATTGACTAAAAATAGATAAATAAAACAAAATTGCTATTTTTCTTTTTTTTCTTTTTCTTTTTTTCAAGAAATTCTATGCTAAAACTTAAAAATAAAAATAAAACTAGAAACTAAAAACTAAAAAACGAACACGACAAATAAAAAACTAAAAATAAAAAGTAAATGAAATTACTCCAAAAATTTGGTGTCTACAGTTTTCATTCCAAAAACAAAAATTCAAACACTCCAACTTTCATTTTTGTTTAACAAAAACGCAAAAATCTAAAAGAAAGTCCAATAGATGAAATTTCCCCTCTATGCGTTTACCACTAACTCTTTCTATTTTGTCTCTTTAATTTATTCAAACTTTCATACATTTGCATCAACCATACATTGTTTTATTATTAATAAAAGCAAGTTTCTAATAGTGATGATTTTATAAGTATCTTGTGAGTGTGAATTGTCTAATAATTTTAGAGTAAAGTTCTACCTTATATGATTTTGAATTGTCTGCTGCTTTTGGAATTTGATCATTATTCTTTATATCAAACTTTATAGCTTTAATCAATATTATAATTGTTTTAAATAATATTATAATTGTTTTAAGTTTTAAGATTTTATAATTAGCAATGTAGAATTTGAAAAAAATTGCTTTAGTTAGGACTTGATCATTATTCTCCACTTGGAGGTTTACAAACTTAATTAAGGTTATATATATATATATATATATATATTCTCCAAATAGATTTTGTACCGCACCTGGTTGTAGAATCGGATTCGATGATGTTAATATAGATTCTAAAGAATAATTATCAGTGTCCTTGGTCTAATCAATAGTGAGGTTGAGCAGTGTCGTGAGATGTCTAGGGGGAGTATTCAGTTCAAACATTATTACCGAGAAACTAATAAGGTCGCGGATGTTCTGTCCAGTGAAGGTTGTGCTCGTGTTGAGTCCTCGGTTTGTGTCTATGAACATGTAGCTGATTTACCAATACTGGGGGAATATCGATTGGATAAGTCAGTATTTGAAAAGTACAAACATGTTAGTATTTGAAAAATCTCTGAAGGAACTCTCTTGGTGTGAGAACCCGTATTTTTGCATTTTCTAGGTTTTATTATTTTTCATGGCTTGTTTTCTGCATTTTCGTGCGTAGAAAATTTCTAGATAATTTTAAGGAGCAGATATAATTTTTAGATGATTTTTCTAGTATCGAATAGGTTTTGAGAAATTATGAGCGTATATCGGATGTGGGACCCGCTAGTGCGGAAAATTTGGAAAATTTCAGCCAACTAGGTTAAGTTTTGTATACTGGGTTTAATTTATCAGGTGTTAAGAGATAATTAGATTTCAAAGCCTTCCACCTGTAGTATATAAAGGACTAGAAGATTTGGAACACTAGTTTGGATACTTGCATATCACAAATAAATACTAGAACTCTTAACCACAATGAACTAATACAAGCACATTGTTAAGAATCAGAAGATTACTATCACATTTTAAGATTGCGATATTTAGTTTAAAGTTATGCCATAAACCACTAGTGGTCATATATATCAATATTTTAAAAGCAAGGCTCCCACATCTCAAAATGTGAAAATATTGTTTGCCATAAAATCATCTAATGATGGCCACATATTATTAAAAGTAAAGAAAGTAAAAAGGGGAACCAAGACACATGAACGGACGATTAATTAAAGGTACTCCAATCCTCCTGAGCAAATTTGATTTCACCAAGCTTCCTTATGATAATCAACTTAAGGGTTTAAGGGCTTTACCAGCCCAGAAAGAAGCCTCTGACAATTTAAACAGTATGCCTGATTGGGTCAGTCTGGAAACTAAAACAATATACAACACGTCACTTGTATATATTTCTCCAAAATCAGAGAAGAATACTTAACTGAACATCACTAAGTAAATACCCACATGTATTTCTTTGATAAAGACTCAAAGGTGACTCCACATGTTTCAAAACTGAATACTAAAGCGATTTTTACAACAAATTACATCTACGGGAAGAAGTGAAATTTGAGTTTCCCATGATAGTTACAGGCACTGCCAACTTTCCGACCCTTTTCAGCTTTTAAACATTTAAGTAGAAACTTGAAGATCCAAGTGACACCATCTAGCCGATCACTGATGCGCAACCATCCCCCTACCATGGATCATATTAGGTGAGATTGGAAGGATTAATAGCACTTGGGGTCACCTATAGCTCAGCAACTATCATCAAGTTACGTCAGTCCTATGACACTTATGCTTTATGTACTTCCACTTATCAACTAAATAACTTTTTTCTTTCCATCAAGCTGGTAATGAGATGCAAACTAAAACCTGAAGCTTGAATTGGTTTCTCAGAACTTTTTTAATGATGCATGTTACTGTTGTAAGTAACCTATTTGGCAATTAATCAGTATGCCATCTCATTATGCTGCCTTACCACAAGGAACACTCTGGGAATAATACAATGGATTCAATAGCTTAAGAAAATTGCAATAGAATATATGCAATATGTATGAATGGAAAAATAAAAAGAGTTTCCTATGTAAATTTAAACTGGATTTTTGTTATTGAAATTTGCAAGGGATACAAAAAGGAAGAAATTTGAAAACATAAAAATTGCCACATAGACTTTAAACTCATTAATTAAGTAAATAGAAATTTGTAAAGCATATCCAAATTTTAAAAAATGATTCAACTTCAACAATTAGTAGATAAAGTATAAGTATGACAAAAGGAAAACAAATTGCAAAGATCGATCAGTAAGGGGAAGAAAGTTTCCACGTTATACATTATTATAAGCAAGGATACAAATTAAGATTAACAGGTCAATAAAACTACAACCAAAAGGCTTAAAGGAAGCATAAGGATGATATCAGGATTTAGAAGGATGACAGCAACAAAGTTAAAGTAAGGGGATGGAATGGTTCAAGTATCTGTAACAATTTTACATTTTTGTTAGCGTAAGCTGTTTAATGACTTGTAGGTTTTACATATTCTGCTCTTTTCCTTCTTTTCAGGGAAGGGCAAGTACTTCCATCAAGGAATACCATGCTTTTACTTGTCTAGCTTAAGCAAAGGGCTGTTATAAAAAGATCAAGAATATTAGCTTCTCTATCCCATTAAAAACAAAGTAACTTTCAGGCATTCAGATTATACCTGTGTTTCCAAAGACATTAGTTATCTCTCGATTCAAAGAGAGGACAATATCCACAAGCTTCTCCATCACCTGCATTCATGGTTTTAAAAGACTTTGTATTCAATTCTGTTCTTCATGAATAAAAACTAGCCTGTCCAACATGTATGAACATCAATCTGCTATGGATATCTTTCTATGCATACAATATACTTCAATTATTCAGGCAATTAGAGTACAATGGCATTAAGAATGGCAGTCCTTTCTGTTAAAGACAGTAATATCCTGGCAGAAAAATGAGGCTGGAGGAGCTTTCAGGAAATGTGTGGGGAGTGTAGTGTCTATCTCAGATAATCTCAATTGCACTACATATAACTTAGGTACAGCAAGCATTACTCACAACTCCAGAAACAATGAAGAATAGACTGTGATATTATGAATATATCTTTGTCTATTCTGAGTGTCGGTTTCACCACATCTGTTTATTCGGATAAAGATCACCAGACATTTTTTTCAAACTAAATCATATGTAAACACTGTTTAGCTTCTTTTAAACAGAAAAATTGGTTGAAACTTAACAGCAGTTTAATAACTTCAAGTGGGTAAAGGCATGGTTATGAAAGTTTCTTCTTTTAAGACAGATTGCTTAAAAATGTAATCAATAAAGTCAAAAAGTGTTATTTAGACCAAGTAAGAACTAGTTTGGTGTAACTCAGCTTTTCCCGGAAACTGGTTCACTGGAGAATCACCATTACTTGATGGATTCAACCAAATCAAATCTAGTTGGATGAACCAATGCTTGATCTACCAAAGTTCTGAAGCACAGAGTTGATGGATGATGGTGAATTCTCTCAGCCTATGCGGCTTAAGAAAAGCCACAAGTTCTAGGAGGCAGGACCATTTTTCACCCTCTGCTTTTAGCAAAAATATTTGTAAAATTAGTAATCAAGAAAAGAAATACCTCTTCCAGACTTCTCGACCAGAGAGTCTTTCTCTTTAAATTTTTCACAAGCTTCTTTTGGTTTTTAATTGCAGGGCTGTTACCTGTTACAAAAGTATCATTAACCAAACATTACTAAAATTTCTTTTACCATCTCTCAAATACAAATCAGAAAGTATCCAAAGTGAGTCATCAAGAACCTACTAGGTAAAAAGATTTTCAGCATCATGAACAATTAATTCAAACGTCAATACGACAAAGAGAAGAGAAACAAAAGAAAATTAATGATATGCTAAGTTAAATACCTTAGAAAACTTTGAATCAATTCAATTATGAAATTGATGCAAAGCCATTTCATTGGCAATTGTATGCATCTCTTTCATAGGTCTTTTGTGTTTAACAACTCCCAAAAGTTTTAGGTGATTCATACATCATGAAAACTCTAAATATTACCCAGAACTAGGCTTTTGTTGATTTGTGGATGAGAACCAAAATTTTCTCATATATGGGCTAGTAGAAGGAAGAAGGGAACAACAGCCACACGATACTGTCTACCTTAACCTTTCTTTGTTGACAATACTAAAGATAATATGGACATCTTAAGTTGAAAACACCTGGTAATGATGCTGATATATGCATGCATTCAAACAGCCATATGTCTCAACTTTTACATAGCCATATAGCTGACTCATTAGGACAAATTTAAAGGATGCAGAAATTTGTAGGTAAATTCATAAAATTTGTTTGTGTTTGCCACTGAAAATGGGGGAGAGAATGATATTACCAAATTAAAATCCAGTAAATAAGATACGGGAGTGTAATTTCATAGTTTGTAGATGCCAAATCCTAAGTTTGATAATTAACCCAATCCTACTAAAATATATCCAAGGAACCAATATATAATAGGCAACAACTTGCAAAGAAACCATGGAATTTCTAGTGGCAAGAATTCTCTCCAATTTAGTCTTAATATTTCTACAGAACAAAGACTTCAGAGAGAAATCACGAGCCCCGTGCAGTGTACATGCCATAGTATACTCCTAAAGGAATTTTATAGAATATACTCACACATTGAGAATGGTCGTTAAAATACAAGCATCTAAAAAAATCATGTCAATTTCATGGTACAGCTGCCACATCATACATGATTCTTGCAATCAACAAAACAACCAAAACAACATTCAAAAAAAAAAAGATTAATTATTATTTGATATCACATCTGCCATTGATATATAAAAGGAGACCCAAAAAATTGATGAACAAATGAAGAAGAGAGTGAAAAGAAACACAAAGATTCAGTAAAAGAAGGTTTGAAAACTGATCTTGAAAGATTCTCATACAAGACTGATGATAGCATGGATATTTTGAATAATGGTTCTGAGTCCTTGTCAATCTTTCTTAAGTGAAATCAAAGGTAAAATCTTGAAGTGGTTTCATCGCCTAAGTTTTTGAGGATGAACTAGAAAGCCAATGGCAAACTCCCAAAAGGGCCAGGAAAAGCAGAAGAAAGAATGGATATGCCTCATGAAGAAAGTCATGGTCTTTGCCTATGAAAAGGCCATAAGAAATTCTCATGGTCATTTAAGGGTTTTAAACAAGAAGAAAAATAAATCACTCCTAAACAAAGCTCAATAAAAAATAAAATAAAAATCCTTCAAGCTATTTACTTGTTAATTAGTTTTTCGAATAACACCCAAGCTTAATTTCAGTCATTTACTATACGAGTTTAAATCATAAAGCTTGCTAGTTTTTCCAGTCTGGTGAAAATCCTCTTCAAATGTCCGCTTACTTGCCCAGTATTGATATTGATAGTGTCATAACAAATTTACATGTTCAAACATTTTACTTCACTTGATCTCATTTGTCAAGTTCATCCAATGCTTATTAAAATGCTAACATTTATAATTAGCCAGCTATTAACAGGTAAACATGTTAACAAATAGTAATTTTTAAATATTTCATAAGAAAGATAAACTCGTACAAGTTTACTATATGCAAAAAAAAAAAAAAAAAAAAAATCTGGGAACAAAGGCAACAGAACCAGAACCAAAAAATGGCAGGGTAAGTTGTATTACCCTGCAAAGTTTCAATCTTTCATTAGTTTTTTTTTTTTTTTTCATTTCTCTCATTTCTTTTCTTTCTCTTTCCTATGATGAGATCGGTTCTTTATGTCTAGGTAAATACAATTTCCTATCACAATATGACAGGCATGTCACCATTTTAAACATATATTCTCCTTCTAAATTATTATTTTTCTCTTTCTTCAATGCTGCCTACCTTTGACTTAGATTACATAATTGCATCCAAATCTAAAATTTTTCTAACTTTCTACTTTATGGGGTGATCCAGTTAAACTAGCATAAAATCACATCATAGGAGATTTATTGGGTATTAAAGTGATCTTTCAGATTTTTTTCGTCATCAAACATATGTATTATGTAGCTTCGCTCATGTACACATGGAGAAATTATCTGACACTCACCAAATCAGAAGATACTTAAGGGGAGACTAAATTGTAAAACAATCTCAACAAATCATTTTCTGCTTGCATAACTTATAATCAAACATGAACTCAAACTTGACTCCAGTTCCAATTACTCTTTTTCACTTGTCAATTGAGCTTGAGCTTGAGCTCAGTATGCTTCAAGCTTCATTTCAATCAATAACTGAGATAAGCTCAACTATCCAATGCTTCATCCGATTCAGCTCATTTTCAACTACATTAGTACCGAAATAAAGTAAATGTGATGAAGAGAAGAGAAGTCTCTTTGAAAACTATAATCATTATATAGTTTGTCTTCCAAGTCAATTAAAAACTAGTAACACAGAAATCACATTGTAAAATTAAGTTGGAATCCAAGATGATATAAATTTATCTCACTATCAATTTGAAAATGGAACAATATGACTAGTCCTAAATTCATTTGATATTTCAAATTATGTAGGATTGAAATATTTTGTTGTCAGAGACGCCATGTGAATAGAAAACTGTTCCTGATTTGGAAACAGTGCACCCCCCCGACACACACACAGAGCCCCCCTCCCCAAAAGAAAAGCCCTTGGGTGTCCCCCAAATAACATAAGAAAATTGCCTCAACCAAACAGATGTAAGGCTTCTCCTACGTCATCAGCCTAGCACCCCAAGATCATGACTCTCAGATCCATGTTTACAAGTTCTATTTTCAAAATCTTCTCGGACAACCCAAACGGGTTAACTTAAGCAAAAAATTAAGTCAACCACATCTATTAGTGCCTTATTAAGCTGAAAGGAAGCAAGGAATCAATTACACATTCATTTAGTGCAGTTATGATTAAGCATTGCTCAGCTATCATCAAAGACCATTTTAAGAATGAAGTGTTGCATAACAGAAACCATTAATAACATGCAAAAGAGAGAACATAATGTGCACCTCTTGGACCGGCACTTGATATGCATGCTTCTAGACGCTTATGCTGGTAATCTTGCTCTAATCTATCCAGTGCATGCAGCTCTTGGTATAACTCCTGTAGACAAAAAAGTTTATAAATTTTCTTTGTTCTTTGAAATATATGACATTGTTAAAACTTCAAAACATAGTTATTGCACCTTTGAAAGTAAAATATTCAACCAAGTCATGTAGAGATTGTCATAATAAAAGCAAGCAATCTAGATTTTATCAGATAATTGACAAAGAGAATTTTCAGAACACAGAACAAGAGTTGTAACATTACTAAAAGAAAAAGGTACATGTTATTACAAATAAGCATCTGCAGATGGAAGATACGACACCCAATTAAAAGCAAGATATCATCTCCCATCCCCCCGGAAAACAATATTTATCCATGCACAACAATGGTTTAATCTCACTTTGCAATCTGCAACTTATCTGCAAGCTTCTAACACCATCCAAATACTTAAGGGAGCAAAAGAAAATTGAAGTATGGTTCAATGGATCATGCAAATACAAAGGAGAAGATACAGCAGTTGTTGGTGATAGTTTTGAATTTTCCTAATTTATAGATTTAACTGTCCTTTGGCATAATGAACAACTCAGGATGTTTAATTTGTAAAAATTGGCATTATGTCACCAACATTGTAATTCAATTTTGTTAAAGGATTTTGGGTTTCAACTAACAACTTTTGACTAGGATTCAGTAGGAACTGAAGAGTCATTTAAGCTCCATGTATTTAAGTGACCATTTTTATAAATTTTATTGAGTTTGGGGAAGGTTTGGGTGATAGGTAGCTACTGTTGACCTTGACATTTAAGTGACTCGAACGATTGCCAGTGATGGTTTGAGAACTCCAATGCCACATTTGATAACTTTAGGGTGGCTTGTTCTATATTCTTCTGGTAGCATTGGCCGGAAATCGTCAAGAACCATCTTCTCCCTGCCCTGTACAGCAGCAGTAGTCAGGATTTGATGTGGCGCTTGAGGGAAAATGGGAGGATTCCGAGGCTGTTTTAGGGCTGTGGTGGAAAAAGAGGCGAAGAAGAACAAACAACTAATAGCCCAATAAACTCACTCTTTGTTCATCAATTTCCCTGTGCCTAGAATATTATACGGAGCACAAGGATTTATGAGCTATAAACTTTCCTAAGATTTCTTTTTCCTTTGCAAATAGGAAGATAAACACAGCTATAGAACTTCCCTCAGCAATGACGACTCCAATTAGTTACCTAATACAGGGATGACTAAAATAATGACAAAACGACAAAATTGTAGGATATTTCCTGCAGACATTTAAAAGACCAATATATCCTTCAGGCTCAAAATTCAAGAAACCACTAAAAACTCAGAAAACAAGGTTACTACTAAGATGACGCCTAAAAGAAAAAAGAGAGACTAAACTGAAGAGTTGTCCTAATTACACAGTTATTCTCATAAGAATGCCAAATTGGAGCTTGAGAAAAGCTGTGAAATTATCTAGTCTTGGTTTTCGTTGAGCTCTTTGTTGACTGCATCTATACATATATAATTCTGTAAATCTCTTGGTTTTCGTTGACCTCTTAGTTTTTTCACACTTTGCAAGCAAAATCTTTTGCCCCAAAAAAAATAATTACACGTACATCTTCGGCCATGAACCCCCCCCCCCTTGGATTTTTTATTTACTCAACTCCTCTATTTTCTATTCGATGTTAAGAAGAAAGGAAGGGAAAAAATAGAAGTTACTAACTTGAATCCAATTATAAAAGCTACAGTAAATGAAAGTCATAGTAAATAAAAAGGAATACAAAAAATTCTAACTCTATTTCAAATCGAAGTACAGTATTTTATTTTTCAGTAAACTATCTTGTAAAAAACATATTGTACAATTTCCATTTTCTTTTTTTCCAATTATTCCAATCACTGTCTGGCTTCCTCACTTAACCAAACACAGGGCACATAGTTTAAAGGAATTGGTTTTCCATTTTTTCACAAGATTCCCAGAACCAAAAAGTACAGTATTTGTTTATTGGAGGAAAACAAAAAAAAACACATTTTATGAGCACAACAATGTGCTAATGGATATAAGATATCAATTAAATACTAGCAACAGAAATAGAGAATCTATCACAATTTCTAATTGGCTGACAGTAATTCTGCTCAATTCAAATAATTCTTTTGAATTCTGCTTTCCACTAAACCAAGTACAGGATAGACAGTTTATAGGAATTTCATTTTCCATAATTTAACTAGATTCCTAGAGCAAAAAAGTCCAGTATTTGTTTATTGATGGAAATACAGAAGCAAATTGAATTAGCACAAGAATGTGTCAATGAATTTTCAAAAAAAGTCCAGTGTTTGTTTCTGCTTTGCAAGAGGTACTCAACGAGCTTTATGCTGCTTGTAGAGTAGGTCGGTTGGCAGCATAAATCTTTCTTCATTCTAGTCCATCCAAAACCTTCCCATTTAGTTAAAATTCATTAGTGACTTAGTTAAAATCAATATATGTTAGTGTTGCCTTCTTCCTCCAGTTTTACACCCCACTCCACTTAACTAGTGTGATAGTTAACATGCATCTGATTCTCGTAAAATTTCCTTGTATTTAATGCCCAAAGGTGCAACTATCACCTCCTGATGCATCTGATCAGTTCCGAAGTATTGTCCGTATACAATGTAAAGATCATCATTCTATGTTAAGAGTTTTCTATTAATGAATACCACCACCCTAAAAGGCACTTTTTTGATATAGTTCACCCACGCTTTGCAAGGATAACCCTAACACCCCAAGGGGCAAAAGAAAAAAAAAATAATCCAATCTAATCTATGAGAATATAAAAGAAAATTAAGTACAGTCTGAAACAAAAATTAAAATGTAACAGTTATGGTACTAACAGCAGTATTCTGAACCAAGATCATTAACTGCTGCATTATGGACTCAGCTTCTTCCCGCATCTGCTTCTGAGGATCTCTGCTATGTCTGAACATTTTAGATAAACCAAGTGAAAACTCGAGGAAAACAAGTGCTGAATTTGTTGACGAGTATAAACACACAGATAAGTAGCATAGAAGACAAGCTAGAATTTGTTGAAAACTTAAGGCAGAATTAAAAAACTACGAAAAACAAATAAACAAATTACTTGGCAAAGTAGCGGTCTAGGTTGTGCCACTGAGAATCCCTACATCGATTTCCAAAACGAACAACTTCACCTGCAAAAATTTTCAGCTCCTCCCTGTATAGAAAGTCTTCCTATTAATTAGATGCTATGTTCTTGAACACTAGATAATACAAAAACATCCAAAAGATGCTCAACAACCTCTTGTCAGTGGCAACAATCTTTAGCAGTTCATCCATATTTGTCGACACTAAATTTTGTACGCCTTCTGAAGGAAGAATTACTTCCTTTAACAGTTTTATGCTCCTTCTTGAAAGTCCCTGCATGATATTTGACCCTTTAACAATTGTGTTGGCAACCTCAAATGCCAAAATCGAAAGTTCATTGTTCTTTGCTGATGCGCCAGTAAGAAATGCACTGCCTGGATTCAAATTAGCCATGCTGCTTCCAAGCGTGTCAAATACTTCAGCAGCCTTTTCTGAAACCTGTAAATCAACTTTTCCTGAATAAGCAATCTCCATGGACTGACTGCTTTTCCTGATTAAATCAACTTTTTCAAGACATTTTATGTTTGGTTAGAATTGGCATTCATCAGAAACTAATTGATTAGCTACTAAATTGATTCGTCAAGAGTATGAGGGAACTTCAAAATTAAGCTCTACCATTAGAGAAACGAAACCACCAAAATGCAGGATTTCAGCATCCTCTTCCACACTCACTCTTTTTCTGTCTTCTATGTTTTTGTTTTTTTCAATCTCGTATGCTATCTGTTCAATATTTTTGAACATCAACAGTATAGAAAGATTGCTCAATAATTATTTATCAATTTTTTTATATTTGGAAAGTAATTTTTTGGGAAAATTTGCTATTCTTTCGCAGCGAGCCAAGTATCCAATAAATTTACTAGAAGCTGTTGAGTCCCCCATATATTCCAAGACGTAACTCCAAAAATTGTTCCAGTATTCGTGATCAAACCAGTCAATTATGCAAACAGTGGAAATGAGAATTTCGAGTTGAATGTTAAGCCAATTTCCTCAGACAGTTCTACTGCTTCCACAATCAGACTTTTTATCACAAACATTACTGTCCGAATTCTTATCACTTCTATTGCAGCTGCAAAACTTTTTTTTTCTTAATCACAATAATTTCAAGTCTGAAATGGTAGTCGACAGTAGTGACATCATAATTCCCCCAGCAATAGCAGTTCTGAGGTTCAGAAATCTAAGATAAATCATATCTGCCACCACCATTAACATGATAGAAAGGTGTTTTTGGAATTACAATATGCTTTTTGTTTTCGCAAAATAAATGGAATCATCCTTATAAAATGAAGTAAAATTCCAATCATATCAAAATTTTATGTCAAATTCTTTGTCATGACTTCCATATTTTACTGTGAAAACTTCAAGACATAGCTGAACAATCTTCATTTTTGATGCACAAATAACAACTGAAAATGCAAAATTTTTGAAAATTGTTATCTCAATAGTTAATAAAGGATACTATCTTTGCTTGTTTACCCACCATTTTGTCTTTCAACATGCACATTTAGTGCAAAAGATAGCTAACCTCTGTCCAGAGCCATGTGATACACCATTCTGGAGCTATGCATCATGGTAAACTACATTTCCAAGAATTATCTTTTCAGATTCCGTCAACATATTCTAATGCCTCAAACATTACCTGTATACTCGCTAAACAAGTCAAGGTTCTCAAATTTAATAATGCAGTATCCCTCTCATACACATGTTTACATTTTACATCTCAAAAGTCCTATCACCTGTCTACCTTTACATGCTTTGGATGACAAATGAACAAATCATTGCACTAACAGTATTGTCATCTTAAGGCTTATTAGTTATCACCCAAGAGTACTAGGAATCCCAGGTGGTTATAAATACTCTCTCTACTTTTAAATATTGTAAATGATCACTTGAAAAAAGAGTAAAAACAATAAGGCATAATTCAATTCCATGCTCAATGCCACAATTTTCTTGTAGTCCACTCCAGGCTTACATCCATGCCTTCAATTGGATCCTTTACTCTTCAAAATGAACTCCATAAAGTATTGATGCTTTAATAATTCTGCTATGAAAAATTGATAGACTAGCCAGAATGCTACTTCTATATTACATGGAGTGATATCATCTAAACCTGTCCCATAGTCCCCAAGGAGCCAATTAAGATATTCGATTCACATTCAATACACAAGCCATGAAACAACAATTTACCAATTATGCTTCAACTCAGAAAAATATCAAGAAGAGAAAACAACATTTTGAAAGAGAAAAATAAAAACATAAATAAAAAGATATCCACAGCAATATAAATTTATGAATATACCCTAGCCCTCCGGGACCTGGATTTTTGCAATGAACTTCTTCGAAACCTGGGAATGCCATCATAAAATTCGTCATCACTGCTGCCATACCCACTGCCTAGTCTGGGCGATACCACTTCTTCTTCTTGTGAATATTGCTTCTTCTCCACCTTCTCCAATACTGATTGTGGTGCTGTCACCGGCTTACTAGGCTGTTGCTTTTGTGTTTGTGCATATACATTCGATTGCGAATCATATTGCTTTGGGATTTCTTTATAAGTACTTGCATAAGGATTTGTGTACTTTTTCCCATGTGAACTCTTGGACGACCGTCCTCCCATTTTACTTCTCTGCACCGATGCTTCAAATTTCACACAACCTAAAGAGGGAAAATAATCAGGGAAAAAAAATGAATCAGTGAGCACAAAAAAAAGAGAATTCTCGAAAAAAAACTCCTATATATTTTAAATACACAAAAATGGAAAATATGTAACCTTAAAAGGAGCCCTAAAGCTTCAAGAATTAAAATTTAGCTGAGAATTATAACAAAATACAAAAAAAAAAAAAAAAAAAAAAAAAAAAAAAAGGATTCCGGAAACTCTGTGCGTTAAAAATAGAGAATCCTGTAAATGAAGAGAGGTTTTCGAGACAAGAAGACACAAGTATTGCAAATACACAAAATTGGAAATTGTGGAACTTGATAAAACAAAAAAAGAGCTTTTAAGCTTCCAAAATTAAAATTCATGCAAGACTTATAACAGAATGTTAATGTGGAATATAGAGGAACTCAGGAAACATAACTCAGCGCATACAAAACAGAGAACCCTGTTAACGAGATGGGGGCACTGAGACAAGAGGTCATAATGATTGCAAATATACAAAATTGGAAAACATGAAATTAGAAAGCTCTTAAGCTTCAAAAACTAAAATTCACATGAGATTATAACAGACAAAAAATAGAAAATTATGGAAACTTAACTTAGGGCCTACAAAAACAGAGAATTCTGTCAATGAAGAGAGGTTTTGAGTCAAGCAGTTCTAACTATTTCAACTAAATAAATTGGAAAATACATTAAGAGAGAGCTCTTAAGCTTCAAAAATTACAATTAATGCGAGTTATAATAAAGAAAAACAAAATTCTGACTAAAAATAGCTCAACGCATACAAAAATAGAAAATTCTGGAAATCAAGAGAGGTTTTGAGTCAACCAGTCTTAATTATTGCAGACACACAAATTTGGAAAATATGAAATAAAATATACAGAAGAGCTCTTAAGCTTCGAAAATCCAAATTCACGCAAAAATTACAACATAATAGAAAAAATAAAATTCTGGAAAAACCTCAGGGGGTTCAAAAAAATTATCTGGAAAGTGAGTGATTTAGACAATCTAAGTCATAATGATTGCAAATACACGAAATGATCATTATGGAATTAAAGAAAGAGCTCTTAAGGTTCCACAATTGAAATCCACGCAAAAATCAAAACATAACAAATATAACAATTCTAAGAAAAGCATAGAGAAACAGAAAATTCTGGAAATGAAAAGAGTTCTTCAGACAAGAAGCCTAAATTACAGCAAATAAAGAAAATTCGGAAACATGAAGTTCTTAAGCTTAGAAAATTAAAATTCATCCACGAGGTCATGCCAAAATTAAGACCAAAAAAATAAATAATAATAACAATAAGTGCTGAAATTGCAGAGAATAGAAGATGCTCTTAAGCTTCCACAATTGAAATCCATGCGAGAATCATAGCATCACAAATAAATACAATTCTATGAAAAGCATAAAGAAACAGAATATTCTGGAAATGAAGAGAGTTCTTGAGACGTGAAGCTAAAATTATGACAAATAAAGAAAATCGGAGATATGAAGCTCTTAAGCTTAGAATATTAAAATTCATCCACAAGATTATGCCACAATTAAGACCAAAAAATTAAAAAATACTGAAATTGCAGAGAAGAGAATATCAAAGGTGCGAGTATACTCACTGTGTAAAACTGAGACGAATGGAGATATTTTTGGGGAAGAGGAAAGGAGGAGCTTAAGGATGACGACGACGGTCCAACGCCGACTGATGGCGATGTTGATCAAGTCGTAGTCCAAAGTGAAGAGGTAGCAAAAGGCCAACGAGTCAACAACATCGGCGCCAAATTGGCATTTCTACTTTTAAGAGCTACGTATTTCATCAACTCTACGGGCTCTGTTGCGTTTTTCTTTTTGGGTTAATTACATTTACCTCCCCTGAGGTTTGACCATATTACCAATCAATCCCTATAATTTGTCTAAATAACGGTCTCACCCTTTGAATGATCAAACATTTAACAAAAACCCACTTACTGCTGAAAATGCCCTTATTGAGGCCATGTTGCATTAAAAAAAGAACATATTTTTATTTTATTAATCTTGAAGCAATCCAAAAAAATAGAAAAAAATTTTGCTTATTATTTTATAAAAATCATATCTTTACTTCCATAAATAGTTTTGAATCAATAATTATTTTAAATCTTAAAAATGAATATTAAAAATTAGATAAATTGAAAGAAAAATAAAAAAAAGAAGAAATTATTTTAATTCCTGAAGTATGGTTCTAATTGAGGAAAACATGCTTTGTGCTCTCCGCAGCATGCCTTGAATCACAAATTCGAACCAAACTTGAGGATTGAAAATAATTGCTTCTTTTTTATTTTTCTTTCAATTTATCTAATTTTTAATATTCATTTTTAAGATTTAAAATAATTATTGATTTTATGGAAGCAAATATATGGTTTTTATAAAATAATAAGTAAAAACTTTTTTCTATTTTTTTTGGATTGCTTCAAGGTTAATAAAATAAAAATATGTTCTTTTTTTAATGCAACATGGCCTCAATAAGGGCATTTTTGGCATTAAGGGGGTTTTTGTTAAATGTTTGATCATTCAAAGGGTGAGACCGTTATTTGGACAAATTATAGGGATTGATTGATAATATGGTCAAACTTCAGGGGAGGTAAATGTAATTAACCCTTTCTTTTTTTGTTTGGTGCTTTTAATAAATAGTACAAGCATACAACCAATAGTTGGAAATTTTTGTCCTGGTCAAACAATCTATGCTAAAAATTTTAATAGTAGTACGAGATCACAACCAATTTTTGGAAATTTTTTGTCCTGGTCAAACTATTTATACTAAATTCCTTTTTTAGTAGGAGATAAAGGTTATTGTTACAAGAAGTCCGAGACAATGGTGCGAGTTTTCAAATTCTTTTGTTTATATTATGGAGGTTAAAATTGTGTTCAGTTTTGGACTATTTATTTATATTACGGATATTTTATAAAAAAAATATCAAGTTTTATGCTATTGGAGTCAAGAGAGTTAGGTTTGAAATGATATTCACATTTGGCATGATTTATTTGTTAACTAAACTTCAATAAGTTTTTACTGAGTGAAGGATGATTCAAACTCTTTCAGTTATTTAGTCTAAACTAGCAACAGGATTCAAACTAGAGTTTTCCTTGCTAAATCATGAAATTTTTTGTGTTAATTGGGAGGTCGAAACATGATAAGTTTAGAATTTGACTTGTCAAACAAACCTTTTTACCCAAATTGCATTTATTCCATCCGAACTTTGCAATTGTTCGAATTCCATTAAAACCTGACACGTATCTCTTTAATTGGCCAAGGTTTTCTTACATCAGGTCCAATATTTTGATGGAGCAAAATTTCGTTACTATTTATATTTCTCACCATTTCTTATACGGAGCAAAACTTCGTTCACTATTACTATTTCTCACCTTCTCTTATACCCACACTTTTTTATATCAGTTCCAATATCACTATGAAGTCGGGCATAGAAGATGAGCGACAACCAAAGTACAGGATTAACAATGACAAATAGGTAAAAGAATTGTTGTACTCTTTTACTTAGATCTCAATAGAAATCTCAAAAGTTTAACAGAAACATGTAGATTCTTGGAATTTATGTGTAAAACCCATGGGTAGGGGGTTTTTACTTTCGTAAAACCATAAAAAAAAAAGTTCAAAATATATTTTTTTATGAACCAAAATGTTTCGATTTTGGTGTATGATCATTATGTGTTCATGCAAACAAGTTTATTTCTTGTTGGTTTTGAAACTTTTGTATTATACTGTAAGCAACCCTTATGTTATTTGTATGTGTTTGTAAGTAAAAGTTGTAAAATATAGTATGCAAAATAGGAATGTTTTTAATCCTGATTAACCATTTCTCCAGTAATATAGGAACGGTTTTCATTGTCTTCAAATTTGGTTAATTTTTAAAATACTTTTTTTGTGTCACAGGATGGAATTGGAGATTAATTTTGGTTGCAATGATGATTTGAATTTGTGTTCTAATGGTTCAATTGAAGGTCGAATTCAAGATTCCGATTGCAATGATGGTTCAATTTTGTGTTCTAATGGTCCAAATTTGCGCAACATTCCTCGTGAGCCTTGTGAAGGCATGACGTTTGATAATTTAGATGAAGCTCAAGCATGTTACAAGACATATTCAGCTTGGAAAGGTTTTAGTATACGGAAGAATCACACTCGACATTCCCGTAAAGATAAAACACTGATTGGAGTTGATTATGTTTGTTCAAGAGAAGGGAAAAGAAAAACTACAAAAAAGGATGACGATCAAACTGGTGTAGTTCATGCAATAACTAGAGTAGGATACAAGGCTATAATGAGTTTAAAATTAAATGAAGAAGAAAAGTGGGTAGTGAGCAGATTTTTCGATCAACATAACCACGATTTAACAACACCGAGAAGTACGTGGCTTCTCTGTGGGCATTGAACTATAACACCTACTCAAAAAAGTCTTGTCATTATACTTAATGAAGTTGGTGTGCCCACAAGAAAAATAATGCCATTCTTGGGTGAGCAAATGTGGTGGTGAAAGTAATGTTGGTTGCACTTCATCTGATATTCAATCCTACTTAGGCAATGAAAGGCAAAAATTACTTAAAGAAGGGGATGCACAGAGAATGCACATGTATTTTCAAGAAACTCAAGCTAAAAGTCTAGGGTTCTTTTATGCCATTGAAGTAGATAAAAATAAATGTATGCAGAATTGCTTTTGGGCAAACACAAGATCAAGATTAGCTTATACATATTTTGGAGATGCTGTGACTTTTGATGCTACATATTTGACAAATCGTTATGGCATGCCTTTTGTTCCTTTTTACTGGAGTGAATCACCATTATCAATCAGTTATGTTTGGTTGTGCCTTACTTGTGAATGAAACTTTTGAGTCATATGTATGGTTTCTTAGAACTTGGTTATATGCAATGGGTAGGTGTACTCCGGTATGTCTACCACACAAAGAAGCGAAAGTATGAATAAATTTTTCAAGGGTTTTGTCCGTTCTAGTATGTTGGTTAGTGATTTTGTCTATCAATATGAGAAGGCACTGAATTCAAGATATCTTAAAGAGAAGGAAAAAGATGTCAAGACAAAGAACTCTAACCCCATTATGAAAACTTGTTATGGTATTGAAGTTGAGGTAGCAAAAATCTACACAAGAAAAATGTTTTTGAAATTCCAGGATGGACTTTTTCTTAGCCAAAATTATAAGGGGTCGAAGTCTGGCATTGATGAAACAAGAAAGATATACAATGTAGTGCATATTGGAATGGAAAATCCAGCCTATGTTGTTAATCTTGATATTTCACAAAATAAAGCTACTTGCACATGTCATATGTTTGAATTTTGTGGAATTCTGTGCAGGCATATTCTCGCAATATTTGTGACAAAATCTATGGTTGCTTCCTTCCCTAAACAGTATATCTTGGATGGATGGACCATTCAAGCTAAAACTCATGATATTTGGGATGTCCCTGGGGTTAACTTAGAAGAAGAACCCTTTACATACATGAGAAAAAATCTGATAATAGAATTTTTAGAGGTTTTGGAGTTGGGATATGGTTCAAGAGAAAAGTATAATTATCTTAATTGGGCTGTAAAAAGGTTCGTGGAGATCTCTTAGCTATGGATAGTAAGAATGAAGAGCAAATAGGATGTGATTTGGCTACTAATGTTGTTCAAGAAAGTAATGATCTTCAAGTGAGTAGCCATATTACGTTTGAGTTGAAAAATCCAATTCAAGTTACTTCAAGAGGCTGCCCTAAATCTTTGAGAGAGAAACATCCTAAAGAAAGTCCATTTGGGAAGAAAAGAAATGTAGTAATTGTCTAGAGTTGGGACGCAATAAATTGGTTGTCCTGCCAAGAAACAAAAACGGTTAACATGACTTCTCTATATATGTTCTTATTACTTTGTATCTTTCAATATAACTTTTAATTTTGTTTTTTTTTTGTCCAGAGATCATGAAAGTAGTGGATTATCCACCTTGAATTCTTCATTGACTTTAAATCAGGTATAGAAAATGATACATTACTCATAGAAGTTGATGTGCCTTTGTTTATTTATGTCTTCAATGTTAGTTAACTATATAGGGACAAGAGCACTTGGTCTGACTATCCTTGAGACTTCCTCGACTTAATTCTCAAGTTAATGTAAGGTACTATTTTTGTTCTCTTATTCTGAATGTAGTCAGTGCTTTGTTTGATAGCATTGTTGTGATATCTTTTTTTCATCATGATTAGGAACTTCTAATTGAGGCTTCAAATGAAACATTTACAAGTGTACTACCAGAGGTTGGAGTGCTGTGCTAGAGACCCAAGCTCTATACGGGACTTTTTGATTAATTTGTGTATTTGGTGTACAATTGTTAAACACCTATTATTTTGGAAAGAGAATTCGGTCATGTGCTCCACTGACATCTTTAATTTTCTATTATTCTCAATTTATCTATAACTATTGGGTGATTTTTTATTTTCTACAAAACAGGAAATTATATTTGGCATCTAAAATGAAATTTAAGAATAAGTTAATAAAACCAGTAAGCAATAGTCTTAAATAAGCAGTAGGAACAATTTTGTTTCCAATGTAAAAATAATACTCTGGTGTTACCTTTTAAATTTCTGTTCAAGTTATAGTGAAATTTAGAAATTTTTTATAAATTTTTTCATGTGTTTTTTTGGGAAAGAAAAAATGACAACAAAATATTGTTTCCTTTAAATTTAATGAAAACCAAAAAAAGGGAGAGAGGGAGAGAGAAAAGAGAACACTTTTCTCTGGAGGATGAACCTTAGGAAA